ATGTCATATCGGCATACTAACCATAACAGAAATGAATTGGATCTTCTGATTATGGACTCTGAAGGGATGGGATCTATTGCAGCTAAATATATATCCAGACGCACAGAATTCGATAAAAAAATGACACTTCTTGGCCTTATGTGCTCTCAGATTTTGATAATCAACACTAAAGGATTGACACGAGATATCTCAGATATTTTAGAAGTTTCCTCTTATCATTTGGGTGCATTAAGCACCAGAGAGTCCAAACCAAGAATTAGTTTCGTTATACGGGACATGAAAGATTCTAAAAAAGCCCAACATACTGCATTTTGTGGTATTTATGAAAGCTTAAAGAAGATGTTTGAAGAAATTCCAGATTCTTCATATGATATGGACGATTTTATGATCGTGGAAGAAAAAGATGTTCATTTGCTAGAAAATGCTTTCACATGTTTTTTCGATGATTTTTGTCCGAAATCCTTTAAGGATCATTATGGTGATAACCTTCATTATCCCGCTGTGAGTAATTGATTGCATTATACTTGTAAATTATACAATAAGGTCTTAAAAACTCTTGAAACACAGGAAACGTTTCCATCGAAGATTTCTAAGCTTCGTAAGGATTTGCTTGATTCTGCATTGATTCCAAGTAAAAACCACGAGTCTCTAATATTTAAGAATATTTATGGTAAAAAATAATGTTATTAATAGTTATTAATATTTAAATATTCTAATATTTTTTAAAAAAATTTCCGAAAGGATTCATCGCACATATGCAATTAGTTTGGCAAGAAATCGAAATGCGCGGTGATTTTCTTCATTTTAAAGATTCGAGGATGATACATCAGTGGAATGCAATGACGAAGTTAGTTCATAACTATGAAGGAACCACAATAATTTCGTACAAGAAAGCGGGATTAAAACTGATAGAAGAACGCGCCAGCAAAGGTAAATGGGATGAAAAGGATGATGAATATATTGAAATCGAACTTACGCGCGAAAAAGAAAAATATTATAACGAGACGATTGCTAGTTTTAAGGAAAAAATTTCTGACCAATTTGATCCACAAATAATTGATGAGGGAGAAAGTTATATCCAAACAATATTTGCAGCCGAAAAAAAAGAACTAAAAACA